GGAGGCGTGGGCAGCCAGCCCGAGCCAGGCTCCCCCCGCTTTGTGCAGTAAGAAACGCTGCTCGGCCAGGCAGAGCTCCAAGAGGGCGGTACAGGAGATGAGTTCGGAGCCTGGGGCCTAGAGAGCGCGGTGACGGGCACGTTCTACGCCGGGCAGGCGGGAGCTCCGGCCGGGGTGCGCGGGAGTCCTCTCGCTCGGCCAGGTGCTTATTTTCCTGAAGCGCCCGGGGCTGCGGGTGCCCGGAGAGCAGAGGGTGCCTACCGGCCAGCCCCGAGAAGCAAGCTCTTCTCCCTTCCCCACTGCACCCCGGAAGCGCCTCTGCACAGGAGGTCTGGGGGCTTGTGGCCCGGGAGGCTGCCGAGGGCAGTTTGGGTCCCGTTTGAATCCAGTTGTGCCAGGCCCCAGCCCGAGGAGGGAAGAGGCAGCGGTGGCAGGGGACGTGAGGGGACGAGGGCTGGGAAGGGACCTGCTGTGGGTCCCGTGGGTAGCACTGGCATTGGCGTATCTGTGGGTACACGACTGCCCCCCGATTTGCCGGGGCTCCGGGCTGGTTTCTTTGCAGTCCGGAAAAGGACCGGGTGGGTTCTCTTTCCCCACAGCAGAGGCACCTGGGGCCAACCCCCTAGGGCAGAGCAGGGTGGATGCCAGCCCCCTGTCGGAGCTCCCTGCGGACAGGGCTGCAGGTGCTGCCCGGAGTCACCCCCTCAATCTTACCTGGCAGGCCACAGCGATTTTCCAGGAGCTGCACCAGAGCCTGGGCGGGTAGTTACAGGCTGGCAGAGCGTCCCCTCCGCTCACAGCCCAGAGCGCCAGGGCAGGCAGCAGCCAGCGGCTCATGGTGCGATCGGGCGGAGAGGAGCCGGAGTGAGCCAAGCTGGGGACTTTCAACTCGCTCTGGTCCCGCCCTCTCAGCGCCTGCCTGCCTCACTCAGCCTGTTCTTCCTCCTCCTGGGCCTGCCCCGGCTCAGCTCCTGGGGAAAACCCAGCCTCTGGGCTGGCTGCCGGGCTCTGCCCAGGGGAGGAACAAGCCGCCCCCTGCACACACCTTCCCCCGTGCGTGGGTAATCCGGTGCCAGGTGCTGTACACCCCCTAAAGGAAAGTCCCTGCCCCCCCAGCCCAGGCTCTGTGCAGGATTGGCAGGGCCCCAGCAGGGCAGGACA